GTTACCTGTGCACCAGGTGCATTTCGCTGGGTTTTAAACACCAGAGGCTCAGCCTCAAAACTCACGTCTACATGTCACCACAGTAGGACAAACCAACAGACAAGTTTGTCTTGCTGTTGGAGACCTCTTGTATCTCCCCCACCTGGATCCCTGTGGCTGACTGTTCCTCTGTCTGGCTTCCTGGCTTTTAATCCCCTTTCTCCTGCTCTTCTGGTCTCTGCTTTGGGCGTCCCTGAGTTGCCTCTCCTCACCTGTATCCCTGGGGCTTACTCACATTAAATTTAGAAAGTTTAATTCAAAATAGAATGCTCTCCTAATACTAGGCTTGTATTGACATTTGGCTGCTAATCATAAGCTCAGTGGTTCAAACCCACCAGCTGCTCTTTAGGAGAAAGATGGGGCAAACTACTTCCATAAAGATTTCCAGCCTTAGAAACCCAATGGGGGATGCTGAGTCAGAATCGACTCAGTGGCAGTGGTTCCCCTCCCCTCCTTTGGTATTGTAATAAGTAAATATTAATGTTTTCAAAACTGATCAATAAAATATCAAAGAGAAAAGAGTAATACCTACGGAAAATCAGTTTCCAATTTACTGTTTTAAAACTATCTAGTTGATCCTACTGTTACATATTTGATAGAAAAGTTATAAAATTAAATTAAAAGCTTAAAAAAGCTCACATTTTGAAATCTCTTAAGAGAAATCTGTTATACTTCCTTCAGAACACAGAAGGGTGGGGTGGGATGGGGATTAAGAAACCCCATGAAAATCTGCAGAAGGTCTTATCCCCCCCCAAAATAGAAACTTTTGGTACATAGAAAGCCGTAACTGCACAGGGGCAAAATAGAGTTGAACTTTATAATGTTCAGAAGTGTATATTAATATACTTTTGGGAAGATGATTTGCCTTGTACAGGCTGGCTGTTTTCACAGATAAAATCCATGCTATTGAAGTTGTGATCAAAGTATATATCTGGTAAATCAGTATGTATCTGTGATGCGTGCACTAATCAGATTTAAATCTTGTGTCTTGTTTTAGCATTTCTTAGAATTTAAAATCCTGAGGAGTCAAATTCATACACAGCTATCAAAGAGGTTCTTTAAAGGTTTAATGCTCTCAGATGGGAGACTGTTTTGGTGTCTCAAGGAACAAGGAAAACAATTTATAAATAGTAGCAATAAAACCACTGTAAGGAGTTTCCTATTCTAGTGATGCTTATATATTTTTAGAGACGATGTATATATATATGTTCACTGTCTTTTTAAAGAAAAGGGCTTTAGAAAGTATTTTAACAAAGTTTGTGGAGTATTGGGAGGCTATTCCCATCTAAAATTCTTTAATTTGGGATATCACAACTAACTATAATCTTTTCATTTAATCATCCAACCTATAGAATAAAGAGGGTGCTCTGGTGGTGTAGTACATAAGGCATTTGACTGCTAACCAGAAGGCTGGCGGTTCAAACCCACCAGCCACTCCTCAGAAGGAAGACTGGGCAATCTACTTCTGTAGACATACTGCCTTGGAAATCCAAGAAGGGGTCATTATGAGTCAGTTCAACTCAATGGCAATGAGGTGGTTTTTTTTTCCCCGCCCTCCTCGGTGTAGTATAAAGAATAAATGGAGATAAAGAATAATGAATGATCTTTTATAGACTACAAAGAAAGATACTTATATACAGTAACAATGAAGAAAACTATACAACAACCATTCCGACTGCCCTATAAACAGATTATAACTGCCCCATAGTTTCCAAGGCTGCAAATCTTTACAGAAGCAGCCTGCCTCATCTTTCTCCCATGGAGTACCTGGTGGGTTTAAACTGCCAACATTTTAGTTAGCAGCCAAATGCTTTAATCACTATGCTACCAGGGTTCTTTGAAGAAAACTGTATTATCATTTAAATGGCCAGGTTAACAGGCTACAACTGGTGCTGGTTTAGTATCTACCACAGCTCAGAGACCTTGGTTTATATAAATTTCTGGAAACCTGTGAAGTCCACTGTGTTTTATTACTTTGGAAATAAAACAATTTCTTGTAAATTGCTTTTGTGACAATCTCTCCTTTCTAACTTTGCTTTTTATTTACATATTGAACACATTCACATTCCCTTACCACTATGGTTTTCCACTAATCCCCAACTTTTGATTAAACCCACATCTCTTTTTCGTGGCTATAGAGCATTACTGAGGAGAGTGAAAAACAAAACATTAAGACTCAATCAGTTACTAACTCTTGCCATTTAAGTTCCACTGGACTCCAGGTTTTGCACAGTAACTCCTTTTCATCATCATTGCTGTTTGTGTATTTCTGATCTAGATCTTCAAAAATCTCACTTTCCCTAGCCCCAACACTATCTCTTGCCCCTTGCCCCTAGGCCATCTGGTTAAGTCCAGTCACACACATTCTCTTTACCTTTTTAAACAATTTTAGAGGCAGGTCTCTGCTTATTCCTTAGAATAAATCATTCAGATGTAGCTGTAATCTCACAGTTATTATTACTACATGAAATAATTATCTTATGTACCATAACTGATATCACCAACTTCATTATTTCTACTGTTTTCTTTCAACAAGTACAAACCTCCTAGCCCCCCAAAAATGTACCCTATTTCAGCTGCTCCTATCTTCAATATTCTATTTCTCTCTCCCTTCACTGATACAAAGGTCCCTGGGTGGTGCAAATGGTTATTGTGTTTGGCTTCTAACCAACAGATTGGAGGTTCAAGCCCACCCACAGGCAACTTTGAATAAAGGCCTGGTGATCTGCTTCCCCAAAAAATCAGCCATTGAAAACTCTATGGAGCACAGTTCTACTCTGACACATTGGGGTTGCCATGACTCTGAATCGATTTAATGATTTAGTGGCAACTGGTTGGTTTCACTGTTATTCTTATTTATATCTAATTGCTCTAGTATTTAACTCTTCAGTCATTGTTCTATACTCCCTGAAGTCTGATTTCTGCCTCAATCATTTACTAAAATACAGTCTGTTAAAATAACTACTCAATTACAAAAGACCAACTGGGTTCATTTTGTTCTTTACGCATATCTAACCTCCTCCTTTCAAATTCTTTCAAAAATTAATCAAGAATTACGTAATAAAACAATAGACAAGCATATGAGGTGAACAATTACACCAGAGAGGTGCACTCCTTAGACCAATCAACCTGGGGATATCAGAAAGGGAGCATTTGTACAGGGAGAAAGCTCAGAAGGCAGGAATGCATAGGAAAGGTCACAGGTGAAAAAGGTAACTAACTAATGAGAAGGAAACGGGAAGAGAGCTGCTAACACTGTAGGATTATAATCGGGGTTGAAGTACAAAATGTGTAAGAACTATTCAATGGAAAAACGAATTGGCTCTGTAAACTTTCACTCAAATTGCAAAAAAAGTTTTAAAAATTACTTATTAAATATTTACAGAAGAAGAAATGTAAGATATGATCTTTGTAAAGTTGGGGATATAGAGCATATATAGTAGAGTGATTAAATACTTAGATTCTTTTTTTTTTTTTATTAGGATTTGGGTGAAGATTTACAGAGTAAATTCACTTTTCATACA